AAAGGGAGCCTGGAGAGATAGTTTAGTGGTAAGAGCACTTGCTGCTTTTCCAAAGGACCTGAGTTCAGGCCTGCCAACACCCAGGCAGCTCACAACCTGTAACTCCAGCTCCAGGGATGTAATACCCTCTTCTGGCCCCCAGGGGTGTCAGTGTGTGGACTCCTTAGTATTTCTCTCTGCAGAACAATGTTACTAATGCTTGTAGCTAATGTACTAATGCTTGTTGATTTTGAGACACCATGAAGCCCCAGACTGTCCTCAAAGTCCTAGCTCCACCCCCAAGCCCCAGTACTGGGGTTGCAGGTGTGAGCTGCCCTTGCATGGCCGGATGGCAGCTCTTAGGTTAGGAGCTGGGACACCCAGTCCCTGTTTTGTTGTCAGCAAAGTAGCTCCAGAGAAAAAAAGTAAAATAAACTGATTTTTAGGACAGTTTGGACTCTAGCTGTTAAACTTTGGCACGGCTCTCCAAGCTGCTGCTTCTTTACCTTCAGTATGAGAAATTGGTCCTGATGCATGAGGTCGCTTTAAGGAATCAACAAAACAAGACACACACACACACACACACACACACACACACACACACACACACACACACACACACACACACCACACACACACAACTCACAACACACACACCCCCACCACCCACACACACACACACACACACACACACACACCACTTAGGCCTGGCTGTTTTGGAACAGGATGAGTACTTGATGCACAGTTTAAAACAAAAAGAAAGGCTTGGGAGGGGGAGGGGGGCTGGAGAGACGGCTCAGAGGTTAAGAGACAGTTAAGAGCACTGGATGCTCTTCCTAGAGGTCCTGAGTTCAATTCCCAGCAAGCACGTGATGGCTCACAACCATCTGTAATGAGATCCAGTGCCCTCTTCTGGCCTGCAGGGACACATGCAGGCAGAACACTGTATATAGCAAATAAATCTTTAAGAAAAAGAAAGGGCTGGGTGTGGCTCAGTGCACAGGCTTAGTGGGCTCCAGACCCTGGGTACCATCCTCAGCACAAAACAGAGTGGGAGGGAGGGAGGAAAGAACGAAGGCAGACAGGGGAAGAAAAAGAAGTCTCCCGTGTGTGGGTTTGTGTTAGCATCTTTTTCTTAGCCTTTGTGTACTCTAGTTTCCTCTGGGCCTCTAGACTCTGTGTGGTACTGAGTGGATCTTGCTTGAGTGTAGGCAATACCTGGAAACAGGCACGTCCTCTAAGGCAGGGTTCATTGGTTCCAGTTAGCCCACTGGAATGCATGTATGAAAAAAATGAGGTGGACAGGCTTTTAGAACGATTCTGTCTTTATGCGCTTTCTCTCTTTTTGTTTTTGATACAGTGCGTTTGAAGATGAGACACTGAGGCTTCGACAGCTGAAGCTGGACAACCAGGTGAGCAGGGGTTCCTGGAGGACCCCCTGATGGGAGCTGACAGCCTTGGCTCTGAAGTCATGACAGGGTCTCACAGAAAGACTAGAAGGGCAGGGTCGCTCATGGCTACTCATTAAACAGTGCGTGAACTTAGTTGCCGAGCCAAAGCTCTGGGCTGTGGCAAGAGCAGGGTGATTTGAAGATGATAGCAATACACTGGCCTTGTTAATAATCACCTTCTAGAAGAACTCGAAGAATGTTGTAGCTGGGCATGGCAGCACTAAGTGGTAATCCCAGCTCTAGAGAGTCTGGACACTGCAAGTCCAAGGCAATTCTGAGCTATGAAGGGAGACCCTACCTCAAAACACGAAAGTAAGTAAATAAATAAGTAAATAAATAAATGAATAAGCCATGTATTGGCCTGTTTCTTTTGCCATAACAAAATACCTGAGGCTGAGTACATAATTTTTAACAAGAAAATGTATTTAGCTCACAGTTTAGAGGCTAAAGCATAAGCTCTAGCAGCTCCATCTGTTTGGTGTGTGGTGACGCCCATCGTAGTTAAGTTTCCATTGCTGGGATAAATACCACGACCTTGTTCTGCTTGAACAAGGACATCATGAAGAAAGTGCACTCCAGACTAGCCTAAAGGCACATCTTACGGAGGCAGTTTTCCAATTGGGGTTCCCTCTTCCGAAATGACTCCAGCTTGTATCAAATTGACATAAAACTAGCCCCCACAGCCCCCTGAGTTACATCACATAAGGCAGAGAAGCAACAGGGAAATAGCTGGATACAGAAGAGATGTCACATGACAAGGGAGGAAAGTAAAGAATTTTTTTTTGGTTTTTTGGTGGGTGGTTGGGGGGGGGCATAGCAGGCCTTGGCTGCCCCCAATCTGCAGAACTGCTTCTGCCTCCTGAGTGCTGGGATTAAAGGCGTGTGCCACCAACACCCAGCCAGATTTTTTTTTTTAATAGTTGTTTTGTTTTGTTTTTTAATGTTCATTGTTTTGCCTGCATGTATGTCTGTGTGAGGGTGTCAGGTCCCCTAGAACTGAAGTTATAGGCAGTTCTAAGTTGCCATGTAGGTGCTAGGAATTGAACCCAGGTCTTCTGGAAGAGCAGTTAGTGCTCTTAACTACTGAGCTACCCCTCCAGCCCCCCAAAGATGGGTTTTAAGAGATACATTTGTTTTTGATTAACACATAGTATTTGTACATATTTTGAGCTGCTGTGGCATTCCCTACCAAGTTTGTTTATATGTATGTATGCTTGCTGGTTCCTGTGTGAAGAAGTCAGAGGACAACCTTCAGGTCTCAGTCCTCACCTGCCCACCATGTTTGAGACAGGGTTTCTGAGTGGCATAAGCCATCTAGCCGTCAAGGTTAGCTGGCTCAGGATTTCTGTGGATTCGCCTGTCTCTGCCTCCCATCTCCCCATATGAACACCTAGGATTACAGACACCTTAGCTACTGCATCTAAACTTTGTTGGGTTCTGAGAGTCATGGAGGGAGAGAGAGAGAGAGAGAGAGAGAGAGAGAGAGAGAGAGAGTATTTATTCGTTTGTTTTTAGTTGCCCCGGCCCCTGGCTCTTTACCCTGCTTTTACCTGCCTGAGTGTTTCTGTTTCTTCACTCTGTAGACCAGGCCGGCCTCGAACTCAAAAGATCTGCCTACGTCTGCCTCCCAAGTGCTGGGATTAAGGATGTGTGCCACCACACTCTGCTGGAGTGTTTGCATTTCTTGTGAAACAAAAAGGAATTTTAGGATTGGTTTTAGAAAAGAAAAGAAAAGCAGTCTGAGCTATTCCAAGAGGGTAGGTACCATGCTGTAATACTGAATCTTCTCTCTAGAGGGCACTGCTGGAGAAGAAGCAGAGAAAGAAGCGCCTTGAGCCACTTATGGTACAACCAAACCCAGAAGCCAGGCTGAGACGGTTAAAGCCAAGAGGTGGCGAGGAGCACACGCCTTTGGTGGACCCTCAGGTGCCTCGCAGTGATGTCATCCTACATGGTGTGTATTTAGACAATGCCACAGACCCAAGATAAGGCAGGGGAATGCTGATATGGTACCCAAAGATAGTACTGGCACCCTTCCTAAGTTCCTCCATAATCTTTATAATCACATTCTGGGTCTTTGGGGGGATCGTGGGAGATGCCTTCAAGTTCATGTCCATCCTAGAACTATTGATTTTGATGCATAGTGAAATGAATGAATGAAGTCTCAAAATGAATGGAGGTCTCTGTCCTGAGCCAGACTCCCAGCCTCTTGGTCTTACTCCTAGGTTCAGAAGTACAGCTTGAGTAACCAAGCCTGCTACTAGAGTTGGTCCCCGTCCTGGGCGAACGTGCCTGTAATGTTCAGGAATGAGAACTGAGATGGCTGGGTAGCCCTTGATTCTGACCACATCCCCCAAACCACCCGGCTCAGCTCTGATTGACATTCACTCTCTCTTTGGGCTCCTAGGCATCGATGGTCCAGCTGCTTTCCTTAAGCCAGAGGCTCAGGATTTGGAAAGCAAGCCGCATGTTCTCTCAGTGGGCTCCCCTGCTCCAGAAGAGGGCACAGAAGGAAGTCCAGATGGGGAAAGCCCTGTGGAGACTGCCTCCAAGCCAGACCTTCAGGAGATTCTCCAAAAACATGGTGAGGAGGATACTGGGCTTACGGCAGAGTGTACTCTTTCCTCCCGGTGGCTTATAATCTAAATGGCCCAGGCTTGTTTAGTGTGGCTTGGGGTTTCAGCGTCTTTGACATCTAAGTGGGATTGCTTGGCAACAGTAGTCATTTATGCCGTTGTCTGAGAAAATAAGACAATGAAATACAGAATAGTCGTTATATAAGGCTTTGCCTCCCTTGGGTTTTTGTTTTTTTTTGTTTTGTTTTTTGGTTTTTTTTTTGCCTTTTAGACAAGGTATTGCTGTGTGATCCAGGCTGGCTTCCAACTTGAGATCCTCCTGTCTCAGCCTCTTGAATGCTGAGACCATAGATATTTACCACCATGCTCCGCTATATAACTTCCCTTCCAGTGAGAAAAGTGAAGGCCACTAAGGAATAACTATGCCAGGTGCTTGCATTGCCAGCTCCCACCTGGGAGAGGTGGCTCAGGATTGTCTGCTACAGTATGGTAGAGTAGTTGGACACCAAAGCAGGTTCATATGTTCATCCATGTAGAAAGAGCTTCTGAGAGTCAGCGAGCTGGCTTATTGGTTAAAGACACCTGCTACCAAGCCTGGCGGCCAGAGTTCAATCCCCAAAACCCCATAAGATAGAAGGAGAAAGTTGACTCCTACATATCGCTCCCCACACACACCTGTTAACTAAATAAATACATTTTAATTTTAAAGAAAAAAAGGTTCAGGGCTGGAGAGATGGCTCAGAGGTTAAGAGCACTGGCTGCTCTTCCGGAGGTCCTGAGTTCAATTCCCAGCAACCACATGGCGGCTCACAGCCATCTGTAATGAGATCTGGCCTGCAGGCATACATGCAAGCACAACACTGTGTACATAATAAATGAATAAGTCTTTTAAAAATGAAAGCACTAATAAACAAGAAAGGTTCTGAGGCCAAGGAGGTGGCTCAGTAGGCAGAGGCACTCCCTGCCCCTCTCAGAACCCATGTGGTGGAAGGAGAAGAACAATACCCACAGAATAAACAAAATGTAATTTTTAAAAGTTTAAAAAAGAAAATAGATTCTGAGTGCCTAATAGTATTGAGCATGATTCTCACAGATGTTTCCAGAGAGTGTTTATCCTGATTTGTGACTGAGGCTTTGTGGCCTTGGGAATGCAGCTCAGTTGGTGGAGGGCTTGCCTAGCATGCATGAAGCCCTGGGTTTGATCCCCAGCACTGAGGAAACTGTATGGGGAGTGGCACATGCTTGTAATCCCACCACTCGGAGGATGGAGGTGGGGCGCTCTTTTAAGGAGCTTCTTGGCTATATGCCAAGTTCAGGGCTATCCTGGACTACATGAGATCTGGTCTCAAAAATAAGTGAATATAGCTTGGTGCTAGAAGTGAGAAGGTGTCAGAGTTCTTGGACAACACCTAACCCAGACTGGGTGGTTTGGCAAGCTGCCCAGAGGAAGAACCCAAAGGAAGTGTGCGGGCCTGACAGCATAGGCCCGGGCCCATTGTGGTGGCAGTAGGGGGGCATGGAGCAGGATATGAGAGGGTAGGTAGGGTGAGCCTGGAGGGCTTAGAGGGGCTATTTCTGGGCGTGAAGAGGTAGGGACATGGTGGTGTCCACCTTTACTCCCAGCACTAGGGAGGCAGAGGCAGGAGGATCGCCGTGAGTTCGAGGCCAGCCTGGTCTGCATAGTGAGTTCCAGGACAGCCAGGACTCCAATAGCGAGACCCTTCTCTCAAAAACAAATAAATTAAAAGACGGAGGACGAAGAGAAGGGAGGCCATAGCAGGGCTTTGGAGTTTGGCTAAAGCATAATTGGAGGTGGTGGTGGTGTTGAAACAGGGTAGCCCAGGCTGGCTTCAAGCTTGATATGTAGCCAAGGATAGCCTTGACTTTCTGATCCTTCTGCCTCTGTCTCCTGAGTAGTGGGATTATAGACACGAACTACCATATCTGGTTCCAATTAGTGATTTCTTGTTACATTTTTTTTTTTGTGTGTGTGTGTGTGTGTGTGTGTGTGTGTGTGTGTGTGTGTGTGTGTGTGTATACATGCCACATCATACATATGACAGTCAGGCAACTTTAGGGAGTTAGTTCTTTCTTTCCACCATGTGGATCCCAGGAGTTAAACTCAGATTGTCAACCTTGGCAGCAAGCTCCTTTTTCCACCGAGCCTTCTCGCTAGTCCCAGTTGGGAATGTTTTAAGCAAGAAAAATGTTAAAGCTCTGTTTCCAATATGATCTTTTCAGACCACAGTTGGCAATTGCTGACAGTGTTTCCTTTTCTGCCAGGCATCTTGGGTAGTGTGAACTATGATGAGGAGACCGACAATGAGGACGAGGAAGGAGACAATCTCAGCTCCCCGTCAGCTCATTCAGAGAGAGAGAGTTCTGCAGCTAGCCAGAAAGCAGCCTCGGTATGCTGTCCTTTCAGCTAATGTAATTATCCCCAAACACGGCACCTGGGGCTCTTGATTGGTTTGACTCACCGAATTGCCCTCTGGGAGAGGACTGAGGATGGTGGAGGGATTTTGTCTACTAAGTGTCTTTTGCAAGGGATGAAGTTTTCGCCCAATTCTGGGTTGCTCACGTAAAATTCCATTTCCAGGAGACAGGAGCTTCCGGTGTCACAGGCCAGCCAGGTGATGCCCAGCTTGGAGAAGTGGAGAATTTAGAGGACTTCGCATACAGTCCTGCCCCTCGGGGTGTCACAGTGAAGTGTCGAGTGACCCGGGATAAGAAAGGCATGGACCGAGGCCTCTTCCCCACCTACTACATGCACCTGGAGAAGGAGGAGAATCGCAAGGTGTGGATGCGGTCCATCCTCGGCGGCCGCCTTCCTTTTCCTTTGGTGCTGGAGAAGAGACATGGCGCAGCCTAGGCAGGCACTCCTCCACCAAGCCACGCCCTCAACCCTGAGAGGCTCCTGAGAGTACAAGGCTGTTGTGGGAATTGGCTATGCCCGGGGAGTCCCACTGGTTAGACCATGTCAGCTCAAAGTGGGTTATGAACCCAGAAGTTCTGTTCTTAGGGCCGTCACATCAGTCCTGGTCAGGCGCAGGATCTCCAGTTCCTCACCCCTGCCCACCCTCTAGAAAAACTCCTGTCCATAATGTAGGCAAGTGGAGAAGTGTTTCCCTGTGCTAGGATGGCGCTCAGCCCAGTCACTGAGCCACCCCACCACTGAGCTGACCCAGCACAGCAAGAGCGTAAGAGTGCGAGTGTTTTCCTCTCCCTCCTGCTCTCATGTAGCCCAGGATAGCCTCAAACTTGGACTGAGTGTGACCTGCTGAACTTCAGACCCTCCTGCCTCAGCCTTCCAAGTGCTAGATTTCATTTGTTTATTTATTTTGTGTTTTTTGTGGGTTGGTTTGTTTTAGACAGGGTTTCTCTGTGTGTAGCCCAGGCTGGCCTTGAACTCAGAGATCCGCCTCTGCCTCCCGAGTGCTGGGATTAAAGGCGTGCGCCACCACTCCTGGTTTAAGATTGACTTCTTTGCAGATGTTAGGTACTGGTAGACATTTGTGGTCTCACTGGACTTGTGTTTGACATTTTTCTTTTCTCAGATATTTCTTCTTGCTGGTAGGAAGCGAAAAAAGAGCAAAACTTCCAACTACCTGGTTTCCACAGACCCGACAGATTTGTCTCGTGAAGGGGAAAGTTACATCGGCAAACTCAGGTGATGGCGCCTCAGATCGCCAGCCTAATCTTCCTGTGATTTCAGAATAATTGCTGTGTTATCCCCCACCCCTGCCCAGGTCTCTTGTTCTCTGCTACTGGGGATTGAACCTAAGGTCTCACACATGTTAGCAATTGCTTTACCACTGAACTACATCCCAAGCCTTTTTTTATTGTTTTTTGTTTGCTTGTTTGTTTTTAAATTATTCAAGTATATAAATGTGTTAATCTTAAAAAAGAAAATAGTTAGTTGGGCATTGGTGACCAATGTCTTAATCCCAGCACTTGGGAGGCAGAAACAGGAGGATCTCTGTGAGTCTGAGGCCAGCCTGGTCTCCAGAGTGAATCCAGGACAGCCGGGACTGTGACACAGAGAAATCCTGTCTCAAAAAACAAAATATGGAAACAGGAAAAAGTTAAAAGAAACTCTTGAGGCCAGGCATAGTGGCACACACCTTTAATCCCAGAATTTAGGGCACAGAAGCAGGTGGATCATGAGTTCCAGACGAGCAAGGGCTACATAGAGAGACCCCGTCTCAATAAGTAAAATAATAATAGTAATGACTTATTAAATTATTTATTGTTGATAAATTGCTTATTAAATTCTTTTAAATTAAAACTTAAAGAAAATCTTGGGCCAGGCATAGTGTGGCTCATGCCCATCATCCCAGTACCTAGGAGACTGAAGCAAGAGGATTTTGCCCATAAGTTCAAAGCCAGCCTAGGATATAGAGGAAGACTCTAAGTTAGTAAGAAAAGGAAATCTAAGCCCTTCCTTGTGATGCCTGGTCTTTGAGAGATTGTGTCTGTGCCGCTCTTTGACTGGCAGGCAGACAGGTGTCCCGACTGCTTGTCTCCTCGAGAGGGAAATACAGATCATCATGGTAGCTTTTTCTCCTGATACCAGATCCAATCTCATGGGGACCAAGTTCACAGTGTATGACCATGGTGTCAACCCAGTCAAGGCCCAGGGTCTGGTGGAAAAGGCCCACACCCGACAGGAGCTGGCCGCCATCTGCTATGTAAGTGCTATCCTTGCCTTGCCTGGTGCTCTCTCCTTTGTGCCCTCCTGTGCAGCCAGCCAGGTCCACAGCCAGCTCTGCTCTCTTCCCCCGTTGATGCTCCTTTGATCCCCTTTTAGGAACTGGCATCATTTCTTCTTGTATTTGAGTTTTAATTGGATTTGTATCACCAAGTTCAGTTATGATTCGCTCTCCGCTGCCTTCTTTTTCCTGGTGCTTATTCTTTCTTTGGCCTGAGACTACAATAAAAAATAAGTTAAAATTAAAGCCATCTCTTTGCATCTAATCTTTCCCTTCCTTCCTTCCTTCCTTCCTTTCTTTCTTTCTTTCTTTCTTTCTATCTTTATTTCTTTCTTTTCTCCTTTCTTTTCTTGTAGTCTTTTTTTTTTCTTTTGAGACAGGGTCTTCTTGTATGCCCATCTTGCTGGCCTCAAACGCTCAGCCTTCCTGCTTCAACCTGCTGAACTCTGTGATTAAAGGTGTGTCCCACCACAGCTGGCTCTTTCCTTCCTTCCTTGACAAGGTCTTACCACTTTGCCTAGGCTAGCCCCAAACTCCTGGCCTCAAACACTCTTCTCAATTCCACCTCCCAAGTACTGGGACATGTTTGTGCAGGTGTGTGCCACCACGCCTGACTTCTGTGTCCGATTCTCAGGTTCTGTGTTTAGCCCCAGCAAAGGAATGAAACTGGTTTTGGTGCTCTTGAGGCTGGCAGCAGTTTTGGTGCTCTTGGTGCTGGCAGTATTTTCTGTGCCAGAGGAGGTTTCCTATAAAAATAGATCTAAGTTTTTTTCCTTCCCTTCCGTTTCCAAATTCAGCCTTGTTTTCCTGTCTTCCAGGAAACCAATGTACTGGGTTTTAAAGGTCCTAGAAAAATGTCGGTGATCATCCCAGGGATGAATATGAATCATGAACGCATCCCATTTCGGCCACGAAATGTAAGTAAAAATATATCCACGGTGAGATCGGGTCTCAAAGACAGAAGAAAAAATATATTCCATCAGCAGGGGTCTCTAGAACACAGTGATACACTCTGAATGCAGTAATAGTGTACAGAAGAGACCAGTTAAAAAAGAAAAGAAAGAAGGATTGCTTCTTTGGAATCAGGCTGGTGTGTAGCTCTTCTGTTGTTAGAAGAGCCACTGCTCACGATCCCCAGGATGGGGTGGTCCAGAGATGCTGACTTGAGAAATGCCAGATGGCACATCAGAATCTTAAAGCTGGGTCTGGAGAGATGGCTCAGTGGTTAAGAGCACTGGCTGCTCTCCCAGAGGACACAGGTTCAATTCCCAGCACACATAGTTGTTTTTAAAGTAGGGAAAAATGTTTAAAAGAATCATAAAGCTGTGGTGTTGTTTGGCTTCAGTTCTCTGTTGCCGTTTCAACCTTTTCCCTCTTCCCTCTTCCAACTCTCAGAATTGTGACTACATGACAGTCATTTCCCCTCCACACAGGAACACGAGAGCTTGCTTTCAAAGTGGCAAAACAAATCCATGGAGAACCTGATCGAACTGCACAACAAGGCCCCCGTGTGGAGTGACGACACCCAGTCCTATGTCCTCAACTTCCATGGCAGGGTCACTCAGGCATCTGTGAAGAATTTTCAGATAGTTCATGGAAATGACCGTAAGCCCGAGGGAAGGGGACCATAAGCCGGCAGGAAGGGCTGGCGGGAAGGGCTAGGTGGGACTGGAAAAGGTACTCTGCGCAGACGTGGAAATGAGCGCTTCCAGGAAGCCATGCCAGGAGGGAGTGGCAAAAGAAACCATGCCAACAGAGAGTGACTGAATTAATGATCTCTTGAAAAGACAGAGCCACAGGGCCAGAGGAGTGTGAGCATCTTTCTGTGGTGCAGCAAAGAACTCTTGGGTGAGGCCATTTAGAACCCAGGTGCAGGTGACCTCAGTGACTGCAGCCCAATCACATCTGGTCCTGCCTGCTTCTCTGGGCTTTCCTCCTGTGCTCCATGTTAGCCAGGAATAATTTCCCAATCTGTAGGAAGAAGAACAGAAGTAGAAATGTCTGATTTTTACCTTTTTGAGTCAGGGTCTTGCTATGTAGGCCCAGCTGATGGAGCTGTGTGTCTCCTGTCTCATCCTCTGGAATTCTGGGATTGCAAGTGTGTGCCGCCACACCCAACTACAAGCTTCCTGCTTTCTTTCTTTCTTTCTTTCTTTCTTCTTCCTTCCTTCCTTCCTTGCTTCCTTCCTTCTTCCCTCTCTCCCTCCCTCTCTCTCTCTTTCTTTCGGTGCTGGGAGTGGAACTTGGTACCTCCTACATACTAGGCAGGTGCTGTACCACTGAGCCATCCCCCCCCTTAGTTGCCTATTTTTTAAAAATAACTTATTTATTTTATGTGCATTGGTGTTTTGTTTGCATGTATGTTTGTGTGAGGGTGTCAGGTCCCCTGGGACTGGAATTACAGACAGTTGTGAGCTGCCACGTGGTTGCTGGGAATTGAACCCAGGTCCTCTGGAAGTGTAACCAGTGCTCTTACCCGCTGAGCCATCTCGCCAGTCTATTTTAAAGAGAGCTTGTGGCTAGCTAGTCCCATTCCCCAGTACAATCACATTAACCTCTAACGTGCTCGTTTCTTTGTTTCCAGCTGACTACATAGTCATGCAGTTTGGACGAGTGGCTGATGATGTGTTCACACTTGACTATAACTACCCACTGTGTGCACTTCAAGCCTTCGCCATCGGGCTGTCCAGCTTTGACAGCAAGCTGGCATGCGAATGAGAACCAGCAAGTAGGGAACGTCCTCACCACAGAGCCTTCAGGAGCAGAAAGCGGCTGCCCTTGACCTGGCCCAGCACAGGAAGAGCAACCTCCTGCCCTGCTCCTTCTGGGGATGAGCGAGCGTGTGCGAATGTTGATGTGTGCGCTCATGTGCACCCATGCTTGCACACACTCGTTCATGCCCTCTCGGAACTTCAGAGACCTGGTCATAGACCACAGCTCCGTGTGGGTGAGAGATGGCTTAGAGCCCAGGGAGGTGGACTCCTGGGCACACCGGTGACTCCTGACCGCACAGCAGGTCCTCTGCAGCAAGCGTGGCTTCCCTGTGCTCAGGCACTTCCCGCAGAATCAGGTTCTTATGATGAAATGCTTACTTGGGCCTCCTTCTTTCAAAAGGGGGCTGTTCCCTTGGATGCCTTTAACCTCTAAGACAGGAGCCTGTAGACTTTGTCAGCCGATGGTTTGATGGTGTCTCCAGTTAGCCTCTTTAGCACAAAAACAGCCATAACCAGTTGGTGCGCAAAGAGCATAGCTGTGCCCAATAAAACTTTATTTACACAGTTGGCATTGGCCTACTTTGGCCTGGGCTCTGGTTTGCCAGCCTGCCTTGGTACTCTGTACTCTGTATTCTGAGGCTGAAGCATCTTCCAGATCATAAGTAGAAAGAGACATGGTTTGCATTTTAGGGGCAGCAGACTGACTCCTTTTATTTTTACTTTTTTTGTTTTGTTTTTCCTGAGACAGGGTTTCCATGTGTTGGATGCCCTGGAACTCACTCTGTAAACCAGGCTAGCCTCTAACTCACAGAGATCCTCCTGCCTCTCTCTCCCAAGTGCTGGGATTAAAGGCATGTACCACCACCGTCCTTCAAGACTGACTCTTAAGAGGTACTCGTGCCGAATCCACTCCTGGTGGCTTTTACCTCACGGTGATAATGGCTGTAGGTGTCATCTGCCTTCAGGAGCTCAAGTCAGTGTCATATTTTCTTTTTCTGGGTCATGTGATGCTACCTTGTTCCGGAGGTCTGGGAAGGCTCTCATGCCCCAGCCTCCCTCCTCCCTGTCCTCAGAGCAGGGTGGTGGGCAACCACCTCAGCAGAGTGACTGGCCAGACCTCTGAAAGCCTTTCTCTCCGGCGTCTTCGTCTCGTGTAAGAGTCAACGGGACTGCCTCACTCACTCCACAGGCCTTGCCGGGTCAGCTTCGTCTCTGGGCCTCAAGCCTGACCCACCAGTGCAGATACTCCTTGACTCCCCGAGGCTTTGCGATAATGAACACTTCCTGGCAGATCATGACAAATTTCTCTAGTTCACCAGCCCGGGGTGTACCTGACCTTGAGAATTCCAAAACTTTGGCCCTGCATTCAGTGGTTGTCCACTCCCAAGCGGCTTCCGGTGTGGGCGAAGGGTTCCTGGCTACTGCTCCATGGTTTTGTCCGTGTGGAGGAGGTCCCTTTGCCCCTGCATTCTGTTGCTCCCTGCTCAGCATCAAACGGCTATGTGATGGCATGAGATGTGGGAGCATGGGTTCCCCGGGTGTCCTGTTGTCCTGTCTGTCCCTTCAGTTATCACTGGTTTCTGCCTCAGGCATGCTTCCCATTCAGTGCCTTGTTCATAGACAAATGTGCTCGGCAGCCTGTCACACCTCTGCCCCCCATTGTCCCTCACAAGCCACCTCTGTTGAGCAGAGAGTTGTTCGTTCATCTCCAGTGCGATGGCTGGCATGGGGGCCTTGGTCCACTGGATCTACTCCTGTCCAGCTAAGAGAGCTGTATACGCCCATTTCACAGACTCTCTGCTTGAGTGTGCAGGTGATCGGTTTTACATAAATCATATTTATACCTTTTATATGCCATATAAATAAAGATATTTATATAAAAATAATGTCACCTTCTCCCTCATCCTTTGGCTTCCTCCTGTTGTATTCTGTGGGAATGTTCTTTTGGTTCTTTGTAGCAACAGAGTTCAGTCCTGGGGTACCACAGACTGAGAAACCTGTTTAGGAAAGAGGTAGCTGAATCATACTCAAGGTCTTAGAGCTCTCTGCATGGATCCTGGAACCCAGAGCAGAATGTACAAGGGGCCCTGATGAGCCAGGTTGCGTTGTCTTGGACACCTGCATCATCTTGAGCCTCCTGGATCTTTTGTTGACATTGTGCACAGGATACAGCAAAACAAGCAGAACATCTCACAGGAAAACAGAGGCCACCTCCTATTCCAGTGTATGTGTATGGTGTGTGTGTGTGTGTGTTTAGACGGGGTCTTGTGTAACCAAGGCTGGCCTGGAATACACTATAGAGCCCAGCCTGCCTTTGAACTCACATCCCTCCTACCTCAGCCTCCCAGGAGCTGAGACCACAGGGCTGTGTTGCCATGGCCACTCTGTTCACATTTAAGGGCCACCTCTATTGACAAATGGAAAGAAAGCACCTGCCCACAGATCTTCCGTGGGCTTTCACTCCCCAGCAGCAATAAAGATAGAAGTCAAAAGCCCCAGGTGAGAATTTAGTTCTTTTTCTTTTTGCATAATTTTATGTGACTAAGGTCCGTGATGGCCGTAGTTGTGGGTTAGTTTTGTTTTGGGTGGTGGGGTTCTCACTAGTTTTTTGTGTATGGGTGTTTTGCTTCACTTGTGTTTGTGTATATGTGTGCCTGGGGCCGACAGAGACCATAAGAGGGCAGTGAATCCACTCTAACTGGAGTTGCCGGTGGTTGTGTGTGCTAAGAATCGAACTCTGGCCCTCTGGAAGAACAGCAAATGCAAGAAGCCACAGAGCCGTCTCCAGCCTCTGGCTCAAGTGTTGAGATCCAAATAGATTCTTTGTAACAGTTTTTTGTTGGTTTGGTTTGGTTTTTCAAGACAGGGTTTCTCTGTGAAACAGCCCTGGCTATCCTGGAACTCACAGAGATCTGCCTGCCTCTGCCTCCTGAGTGCTGGGACGTGTGCCACCCCTGCCCAGGTGGCTGCCCAGTCTTTGTAACGGTTTTAACATTTGGTTTTAACATTTAGTGATCCGAAGTTTTTGTATTTGTTTTTTCTTTCAGTACTTGGGATGGAATCCAGGGCCTCAGATGCTTGCTAGGTCACACTCTTAGCCAAAAGAAAAGGTCTGAACTGAGCATGGTGACATACTTGTAATACTAGAACTTGGGCTGTTAAGTGAGGAGGCTCTTCAGTTTTGAGGCCAGCTTGGGTTACATACTGAGGATTCCGTATGAATTTTTTCTTTCTTTTTTCCTACCCCCCTACCCCCCATCTCTTGTATACAAGTTCTCTAGTCCTTGCTGGCTTGCAATTCAATAGGCTGGTCTTGAACTCACAGACATCTGTCTGCCTCTACCTCTTGAGTGCTATGATTAAAGGAGTTGCCATTATACTAAGCCTCTGGATTTAAAAAAAAAAAAAAAAAAAAAAACTCATGCTTCAGGCTATCCTGTAACTAGTTGAGGATAACCTAACAGATAGCCCCTTTTGTAGGTGGCCGTGTTATATGTTCAGGACCGTGTGCGGGTGTAGGCACACTCATGTGGAGGCCCAAGGTCGACCTCAAGTGCCAGTCTTACTTTGTGAGAAAAGGCCTCTGGCCTGAGGCTCCTGGGTTAGGCTAGGCTGGGATTACAAACCACAAACCAAGCTGGACAGATCTCTGTGAGTTTGAGGCCAGCCTGGTCTACATCATGAGTTCCAGAGCAGCCAGAGCAAGTAGAGAGACCCTGTCTCAAAAACAGGGTCTTTTCATGCTTTTGTGGCAAGAACCTTTACCAAATGAGCCATTCCTCACCACCACCACCACCAACCCCTGCCCCAAGACCCCAAAATAAACATCTATTTCACTACGTATATTATCCCTTAGATTGACACTTGTGGATTCTTTTTGTCATATATGTAATTTTCTAAGTGCTCAGAGACATCCACACAGAAACACTGGGACTCTGCAGGCCACCTTGTTCCCAGCCTCTGCAGCCCCTTTCTGGTCTCTCTAAATCAAGGGTTTCCTGCTGTTTTTGTTTGTTTTTAAGCCACGGTCTTCACATGCCTGTAATTCTAGAGGCTAAGGCCAGAAAGGGGGACCTTGGCTGGGTGTTGGTGGCTCATGCCATTAATCCCAGCACTCAAGAGGCAGAGGCAGGCGGATCTCTCTGAATTTGAGACCAGCCTGGTCTACAAGAGCGAGTTCCAGGACAGCCTCCACAGCAATACAGAGAAACTCGGTCTCGAAAAACCAAAAGAAAAAAGAAAAAAAGAAAGAGAGAGAGAGAAAGAAAAGGGGACCTTGGTGGCCAATCTGGTCTACACAGCCGGACAAACTAGCAAAAGTCCCAGTATGCAAAGGACACAACCAACCTTGCCTTGTTATGAGAGAAAGTAAGACAGTTTTGTGGCGCCACCTTGTGGTCAATAATGCATATTACAAGTCTTTAAGAGCTCTAGTGACCACACCACCCAGATTCCCTTTAAGATAAGAGCACAAGTACATTTTTATTTATTTGTTTGGTGTCTGGGGATTGAGTCTTGATAGTTAAACTATCTCCACAAGTTACACTTCTGGCTCTAAATACTTTTAAAATAAAGTCAGGGCCTAGAGAGATGGCTCAGAGGCTAAGAACACTTGTGGCTTTCCCAGAGGACCTAAATTCAATGCCTAGTGCTAACTTGGCAGCTCCTATCGTAACCTTCTATAACTCCAGTTCCAGGGATCGACACTGTCTTCTGACCTCAGCAGGCACCGGGAACACACATGGTGCACAGGCATATTGAAGAGCCAGCCTGCCTCCAGCTTAAGCTTGGAAACCATTTTATCAAGCCAGGCAGTGGTGGCACAGGCCTTTAATCCCAGCACTCAGGAGGCAGAGGCAGGCGGATCTCTGAGTTTGAGACCAGCCTGGTCTATAAGAGCTAGTTCTAGGACAGCCTCCAAAGCTACAGAGAAACCCTGTCTCAACCTCCCCCACCCCTCAAAAAGCCATCTTATCATAAAGACAAACTAGGCTCATTCCTGTTTATGATGGAACCTGTTCCTGGGCTATGCCCTCCTGTAACCTTAACTACAAATTGTTCTAAACTGCCTGTCCCAGGAAACAGCAACCATGACTTTGTTTCAAAAAGTTTTTATAACTATCTTGCAACCCTACCTTTGTTTCAAAAGGCTGTTATGACAATTTGTTGTTATGACAATCTGTTGTTATGACAATCTGTTGTTATGGCCACCTTGGTACACCACCTTGCAGTCACATCTATGTTAGAGCTAACCTGTATACTTAACTCCTGTTACCCTTCTATTTGCCTGCCAAATCCCCCATTTGGAAACCCCCTACCCTGAGCTATAAAAAGCTTGTCTTCCTCTTGTCCAAATGCTGACCTCTGGAACTCCACCTTAGGGGTTCAGGAATAAAAAGGCTTGCTTTAATTAATTGCCTGCCTTTATTAATTTGGTCACAATGGTTTGGATAGGTAACTCTTTCTTTTTGCATCTTTGGGATTAACAATATGTGCTGGCAAAACACTCATACATTTTCTTTTCTTTTTTGAGTTTTTGAGACAGGGCTTCTCAGCATAGCTCTGGCTGTCCTGGAACTCACTCTGTAGAGCAGGCTGGCCTTGAACTCACAGAGATCAGCCTGCCTCTGCCTCCCAGAGTGCTGGATTAAAGGAGTGTTTCACTACTGCCTGGCTAATATTTCCTCCTCTCCCCCCACCCATTTTTCTTTTTGAGCAGTTTATATATGTGTGTCCAGCCCTGCCAGGCCTTTCTGTCAGTCTTAGCCTCCTGTCATGCTGCCCTCCCACACAGTTGACCTGAGCAGGAAAGCAGCATAGAGTGCCCACAGGCAGGCAAGGAGGAGACTGGTTTTGCTTTCTGTTTAAAATCTGCAGAACCCAGAGCCTCATACATGGAAGAACCACGTCCTTCAACTAAAACTGATCTCTACCTTCTGGTTGGGTGGGATCTATCATGTTCAGGCTGAGGAGTCAGATAGCAAATGACAGGAATTGCATGGAGAAACACTCATCTCCCACACAGGAAGCAAAAGAAAGGGGGATGGTGGAAGTCCCACAGTCCCCCCTGGAAGGCACACCCCCAGTGACCTAAGGCTCTCTCATAAGGCTCCACCTAAGCTGGCCGCCAGCCTTTTCTATACAAGGGTCTTTGTGTGGCATTCATCATCCACACTTCAGCAGGGCCCTGGTGGGAGTAGAAGTCTCCCTGGCCTCTGGCCATGTTTAGACACATCTTTAGTTTGAAGGTGGCTCTGGAGCCTCGGGGCAATGCTACAGACCTACGTTTTGTCCTTCTATGACTCCAATATTTCTAGAACGGTCAGCAGTTCTCTTTGAAGCTTTCAAAGGGACTCTGGCCAGCACAGAACACGGCAAACATGGCAGGCCTTGCCCTTCCCTGATTGATCCCTTCTGCTTTGCTAAAAACCCTTAGATCACATTCCTAAAGCTACTCACCAAGGGCTGTTCCCTTATTTGACGCTCTCCTTGTGAGACTGTCAACCAAGGTCCAGCTAATAAAGTATTGAAATCCAGCAACCAAAAGCCCCCTTGGGCTCACCTAATTAACCTATCAAAATTAAACACCTCATCCTAACTCGGGGGGAAAAAAAAACCCTAACTAAGGGAAAAAAGGTTTCCCTTTTTACCTTTATAAACTGCCACTTGCCTATGGGCCACGTCTGTCTTCTCTCTATCCAGAGGCAGTCCTTTGTCCTCCAGGACAAATATCCCTTTCCCTCTCCCTTTTTCCGTTCTCCTTCTCCCTTGTCCTCTATCTCCTGTCTTTGTCATCTCCTTTGTGCTGAGAACTTGGTCTTGGGTGTCTTGTACTGATACTGGTCCCTTCAGCTTAGGAGCAGGAAGCCTAGGACGATGGTTT